AGCATTGTAGCTCTGAATCTATTGCCAGCTTCTTTCCCTCCTTTCACCTGGCCCCTGCTGGGACTCAAAAACCATCTCTGCTGTGAAACAGAAAAGCTTTCGGGGATGATGCTCACAGACCCCAGCTGTGCTTCTGCTCTGAAAGGTCCCTCTCCACAAAGACAATTGAAGTCCAGAACTCTAGGCTCCCTCCTCTTGAAGCCCTCTCTCTCCTCTCCCACATCCTTGGCAGTGATCAGGACTTACTTTTTTCACTGCAAAAATTAACACGATAGACTAAAAAAAGAGAAAGGCCACGGGTATTTGTAGCTATGACCCAGGTTTGTGTCTTCTGCAAGAGAATTCCCATCCATGGCACCAAATCACTGCAAAACCACTCTTACTCTGCAGGACAGCTGACATTTAAAGCACTGCTGGGCTATAAAATTCTCATCTTTGATGACTGGCTCACATTCTACATGCAGCCATTAACACCATTTACACTTCTTGCTGGAATATTGTACCAAAGAATAAATGAGACCATTAAAGGCTTCTGCTCCTTTGTAGGGAGTTCATGAGCACCTAAGGACACAAGCCCTCTCTTGTGAAGTCTGACAGACTGCAGCTGCATTTCTGCCTGCTAGGAGAAGGAGGCATTTAAATTTTCTGTTAATTAAGTGCAGACTTTTTGACTTCTATGTGAGAGAAACTGGTGAAGAATCAGTCCCACAGCCCACATGTCTTGAGGGCCCTAACACTAACCTCAGTTATTTCTGGATCAAATCCTGAGTAACAGATTCCTTTAGTTCTGGGCCAGCTGATGTGATAAAAAATATTATTGAGGGAAAAATATACATGCATCCACATTTTGAAAGAATTTTTACATAAATATACTGTATAAAACATCTCCTAAACACCCAGTATTGCAGGTGAAGGAGTATTTGTTGAGTGTATCCAAGTTAAAAAGGGTACAGTCACAAGAAAAAAAAGAAAACTAATGTTCAAGATGTTGCAGATTACAGAAAATATTTCCTGGAGAAAGGAATCAGCTTTGCAATCCCAAGCAATGGAAAATACAGCGTGACATATCTTAGCACCAAAATGGAGCCCTTGGGACTGTATTTATCCACGCATAATAAAGCTGGTTTTAATGGTGTTCAGTTGCAGCATGTTGTTCTCTTTTGGCACTTGAATTTGGAAACAAGATGAACATTCTGAGTTCATAGTTTTCAACATGCACTGCACCAGAAAATCACAAAGTATTTGAAGTGCCCTGATTGTACAGAGCTGCTGAAACACTTGAGATGGCACAGCAGCTCTGCCAAATTCGATTTTGTGCCCTGAAAAGACCAAGGCAGGCTTTAAAAGGCGACTAAATGTTGATGATGGCAGCCCAACATTGCCTGGTTTGCCTTCAAAAGGCTGAGATGGGGACACCACACAACTGGGACAGGCTGAAGGTTAAAGCCAAGGAATGGTGACTTTCCAGTTTAAGGCAAATCAGCTGTTTGCCCAGAGTAAAATAAAGGCGTTTTGGTGTCCCACTGAGGAACTTTTTAAATCCCAGCAGGCATCCAAATACATCTGTTATCGTGGGTCAGGCCATCTCAGCTGGGACATGCATCTACTGGATGCTTCACTAAGGACAGGGTGTGCCTGGATTTTGGTGTTTTCTGAGGGCACACAGCATTTTTAGGAGGTTTCTGCACCCTGCAGGACCAAACTGTCAAGGGTTATAGAGTATGGATAACACAAAAGAGCTGGAAACCCTGAAATCCTCCTAGACTGAGAGGCCCTTGTGCCTCTGAGAGGAAGGAAAAGCCAGGGTTTGGTCATCCTGGCAACTGTGTTTTTTTGAGCTGAAAAAGGAAGAAAATCCCTGAAATCAAAGATCATTTTTCTTGAAGAGCATCCATGACAGCAGGAGGAAGGCAGGACAACCAACCAGGAAATCACGGACATTCCTTAAGTTAATGATTTAATCCAATTTCAGGGATGGATTCTTTGGGTCTGAAAAGTGGGAATTGGCTGATTCTGCCAAGGTAAGGGTTGTGAAGGGAGCAGGGACCTGCACATGGATCGGCTCAGCCTGAGTGCAAGCTCCAAAGAAGCCAGTGCAGACCAAGATGAGCAGGCACCATACACTCTCCAGCTCCCTATTTTTGTTCCAAAAATGCTCATCTTTGGTCCTGTGCCTGAAGAGCACCCAGCAACACCTGCACAGGAGCAAAGTGTCTGTGTCAGTATGCTGAAGGTCAACATCCAACAGCCCAGAAATAACAGCAGGGCTGCTCCCCAGCCCTTGGCAGTGGCCTGGGATAACCATGAGTTCAGCACTTCACAGCAGTGGCCTTTTGCAGCTGGTAACACAACAAACTTCAGGCCTGGATGCCAAATTCACAACAGGGAGGGGAGGTGTGGCTTCACCACTGTCATTAGTGCATCTGTGGAACTGCAGCAGGTCTGAATTTAACTTAGAATCAATCAGGTCTGGAACAAAAAATCCCACAAACTTACAGTGGTTTACACTTGTACACTGCAAAGTAAAGTGGCATTTTACTCCAGCAAGATTGGATTCCCATCATCTCCTTTGGAGTACATTACTCCAAAGCTTTACTGATGTTCCAGAACTGAAATGAAGTCCAGGCAAAGGTAATAAGCTCCTTCTGATCTCTGTTCAATCTGAGCATATTGTCCAGTTAAACTCCACACCACTCATTCTCCACTTGTGTAAGGAAGTGGCCCAAGAAGTTCAGCTCCAGCTTTTCTGGAAAGCAACCAATGCCAACAGACAACAGTACCCAATCCTGTATCTCATCCCAACCTGCAGACTAAAAAGAAATAGTAAAGCATTTACCACCCAAGGTAAATTTTAGCATAAAGATTTCAGGTTATCAACTTCTCCGAGAGGACAGAAAGTGATATATGAGGCAACACTGCAGAACAATAAAGTGAAAGACAAATAGTGAGAGAGAAATCTGAAGAAATAAAAAAGCCATTGTGAGATAAAATGAAAACTTTTTTTTGTTGTTTAATAGTTCGAGTTTTGAATATGATTTAACTTCCCTGAACAGCCAGTAAAGATTCTCATGCTCTTGGCTCAGTGCTTCACCCATTCCTTGACTGGCCAGCACTAGAACTGGTTGCTCTCAGAGTCTGTGTGTGTCTGCTCCCAGTCATGCCTTCACGAGGAATTAGCTGCCATAGGAATATCTACAGTTACAAGGCTGATGGAGACAAAAAATGACATTTTTGCCATGTGTCCCAGAAGGCATGAAATGTCTCTGACAAATCCCAGAGGCCAGAAACTCCAAGAACATCAGAGCAGCAGAAGCAGCTGGATTTGACGAGTAAAGGATCAGTGCTGGGATGCTGTTCAGCACACAGCCTTTCTGCTTCTCTTCCTTGGAATGTCCTCATGCACCAGTTCTGACAGAACCCTCCCAGGAGCTGTCTCCTGCTGACAGATGTAACATTCAGGACTGGGCTGAAGTGAGGAGCTGGGAGAAGCAGCCTCCCTGATTTTCTCAGCCGTTCTCTCACTTTGCTGGGTGCAATCCTTCTGTCTTCAGAGGCGAAACACTGAGCAACACCTTCAGGGGACCCTGAGAGGGATCCAAAAGAGTTATCAAATCAGTTGCACTGACACATTTCACTGCCACTGTCAGTATGAAATCCAGTCTAAACCCCAGTTTTTTTAATAACTGCCCCACTACAGAACCCTGTTTCTGGATTTCTGAAGAACAAAACCCCAGTATTTAATGCAGAGGCAACTAATACTGCCTTGAACAGATTAAAACTTGAAGAAGATCTTCAGAACAAAGCAACAGCTGAGAACAGATCCAGTCCTGCTCATCTCCCATATAAGAACATTTCTGATGAAGTCTCAGCATCTGGTCCAGCCTGCAGCAGTTGCACCAATCCCAGTCCTCAGTGACAAATCAGGAAACTTGCTGAAAGGCAAGACAGGAATTCCCAAGTAATGCATGGCAGAGTCAATGCTTCTTGCCTAAAACACTCTCTGGGCAAGATCTGGATGTATTCCAAAGTATTTATACCTGAAGGTCCTCCCTCTTCTCCAAAGAATTTAAGAAGGAAACCAATGAAGGAGAATGCAGCAGCTGCAGCCTGGTGATGGTCAGTAGGTTCTTCTGAGCACACAGGTCAGCAGGAATTCCTGATTCAAGTCTGCTGTCACCTTATGGCTCAAAGACAGGTCTTTAAATTGACATGGGAGTTAAGATTTTGACTACGAAAGCCTTCATGTTCCTGTACAAGAATGGAGCATTGTGCAGATCCCATCACAGAGACACTCAGCTGATTGTGCAGAGCCAGCGTGGCTCAGGATGTGCTGCTGCCCCACCAGGCCTTGTGTCACCCCTGTCAGTCCACTGTAATTTTGTCTGATATCACAGAGACCCCGGGTTGAGTCCCCTTTCAAAATTCAGTGAGGAATAACCATTATATGCCTGGTGTAACACTTTTTCCTTTTGTAAAACCAGAGAGGTGGAAGGCAAAAAAAAAAGCCCACTGATCACCAAGATCAAAGCTGCAGTTAAACCCCAGGTAATGCTACAAATGATGACTTACATTTCAATATGAAAGAAGAGTGTCAGAGCTGTCTAAAAGAAATGTTCTTGTCCAGAAATTGTCCTAGACAAACGATGACCACCTGGAAATGTCTGACCCTTCTCCTTGGGAATGTGTCTGCCACTGGTAGGTTTGGTTTGGGGACAAACCACCTGATCTGTGCTGGCCTTGCACCACTGGGCAATGGGTTGGAGAGGCTCATGAGGAGAGATGCCAGCAGTCTTTCCATGTGCTTTACAAGTACAGAAAAGTTAGTTCCATTTGTAGCTCATTTCTTTTTGTGTTTGTTTTTCTTCCCCCTACGGATTGTTCCCAGTGCTTCCAATTCCACTTGTTCTCAAAAAAGAAAAAGGATATGGGGGAAGAAAACCCCTTGAACAAGCTGAAATGGTAAAAAAGACAGGGGGACAGGAAGGAATGCAGAAGTGAAGTCAGTTGGCATATTGTGCATAGAAAGCAACTTTTACTCTCTCGATCTGGTGGCACAGTTTGATGGCTGGACCCAGCTTCAGCTCCATGCACTCCTGCACCGTGGGCAATGTCAGCAACAGGAGGGCCTGGCCATCGATGTCCTGGGGAAAGAAACACAGGGAAAGTGGTTTTGTTTGTGGACTCTGGAAGGCAGAATGCATAAGCAAGTTTGGAGGAACAAGAAAGGCAGCTTGCTCTAAAAATCAAGTTCTTTCATCCTCTGCTTTTTTCTCTTTTTTCTCCCACTTTGACACTGCCCATCTCCTTTCCCTGAAATACAACATGATTTTTCAGAAGCTGTCTAGTGTCTCTTCATAGGTTCTCACCTTTCCCAACCTGGGAAAAGTCTCCCAGCTGCTGAAATGAGGAATCACCTAAAGAACCCCTGCAGAGTCCACAGAGACCTGATCAGTCCATTTTATGCCTGAGGAACTGAAACAAGGGGCAGGCTGCAGAGAGACACCAGGAGACACAGGATAGAGCTGAATGGAGAAACTGATGATGGTCCCACTGCCAAGTCAGATCCTTTCCTCACCTCCTCTGGCCCATGATTTGCTCAGCACAGGTTTATGTCTGCCTTGCTCCATGCCCTGTAGCCAGGTACACCCAGGACCTGCCTTGTTCCACTGCTCCATGACCAAGAGAGGGGCCTGGACCACCCAAAGCCCTTGCAATCTCTAATGTCCCACAGTCACAGAATGGTGTAGGCTGCAAAGGACCCCTGCAGGTCATGCCTTCCCCTCAAGCACAACCATGCACCAAACTCCATGAACCAGTAGCTCAGATGAGCACTTTTAATGGGAACCTCTGTTGGCTTTATGATCCTCTGCTTAATGAAGAGCTCAATTTCTCTTAATTCTTTAATAGACTGAGATGATCAGGCCACATAACTGCTTTTCACCCTTTAGGGAGAATCAGAGTCTATGCACAGCAACTCAAAGCCAACATAAAACTCCCCAGGACAGCCCTGATTCGGCAGCATTGAACGTAAGGAGGATTTAGACACCTGAAGTGCTGCTTTGATCAGGACTGTCCACAGCTCGGGTTCATCCTCCACTGAAGGTTGATGGCACAGACCATTGCACCAGGGCTTCACAACGAAAAGCTCCAGTCATCTGTGTTTGATTCAATCAACTGCAAGTTTGATTCTCTGGCAAAGGAGAGACAGGGTTGGCTTCCAAGCCCTGGCATTGCTCCAGGCTGGTTAACAAATGGTTGGAGCTCGCTGTGACACAGCAACTGCAGCATCCTGCCCTGGGGAGTTTCACTCACTCCAGACTCACTCTACACCTTCTCCCAGCCACAGCAACTGGAGTCATTCATGGTGAGGAATCAGAGACAGTTCAATGAGCAGCTGGCCACACCACTGACTAATTAAGCACACTTGTTTCTTCCTAACTGCTGCTCATTAGTGCTGCCCTTTACCCTCGACAGTGGCTGCGACTCATTTGCCAAGGAATGGCTCTTTCCACAGAAATTGTACACACTCACACAGGCTTGAGATGAAGAACATGGGCTTCTGCTCCTGCAAACCTATCTGCTTAATGGGGAGAAGACTGGCATCTCCTAAATTTAGGTCATCCACAGCCTGACTGGCAGATCTTCAGAGAAACGTACTTAGGAACTAGGTGTCTACACACTCGGGACATCTAGGTTTTAATGGCAAAATTTAGACAGCCAGTTAGGGATTCAAGCAGCACTCTTCTGCTTCCCAGGCCAGTATTTTAGAACAGGATGGAACCCATGTGGCCTGGAGAAAGCCTGGTATGTACCAGGTAACCAGTACCTGTTTTTACACTGAGGTTCCTACCTATGGAACATCAGTATGGCACCATGAACCTTGGCATGAAAGGACTAAACCTCCTGCTTTCCACAAGGGTTCTTCACAAAGCTATTGAGTCTCTGGAATCTCTGAGGATCTGGCAAGGCTCTGACTCAAATTTCTAAGGGTTTTCATGCCTTGCCAAAACTGGTGTAACAACCTGGCCTGAAGATTCTGAAGTCTGGTCATAGTCTCTATACCAAAGTCCCAGGCCCAGCCATCAAGGTGGGATGTCCTGTAACATGAAGAGGCACCACAGACACAAAGGGACAAGTGACAAAAGGACTTTTACCTGCTCCTGAAATATTTTGGCAAGGGGTGCACAGTCGGTGAGTTTAATAAATCTCACAACATCAGTCACAGTCCACTCCAGTGGGTTACTGTCCAGGACAAGCTTCTCTTCCTCTTCTTGCTTCATTTCCTGTGAGGAAAAAAATAACAAAGAAATGTTTTCGTAATGTGGATGCCAGCTGGTCAGGGAGAGGGAAACAGTAATTGTTTCTCCCAGTGGCTTGTGAGAATTTTTAGGAGTTGTAGGAATGTGATAACTTGTTGGTATAAATTGTGGGGATCCCAGTTGTTGGTTTCCCTGGGTCTGGACTGAAGACACTTGAGATGGCAGTTCATGTTCAGACTCAGGTGTTTATTATTTCTTATCAGTAAAACAGTCTCATTACTGTGAGTTCAGCAGCTTTTCATTAGAAGGCATAAAACGGCTAACAATCTCTTGTTCCAAAGTCTTTTAAGACTAAACTATCCAATTAAGAACTGACATCTAGATTATTTTCCCTTTTAACCCAGTAACTGATCCCAAAGAGCCTGCAATGTGGACTTTTCTGCCCAACTACAAAATGCCACCCAAACCCAGGAAGAAGGAGGAAGAAGAAGCATGAAGAAGAAACCCAAGACAACACCCTGTGCCCTCCATCTTGCTTCCATCCACAACACACTAGAAATCCCAAACACTAAATTTCTCACCAAGTGCTACACCTACACTACTCTCTAGAATCTATTTCACACTTTTGTGGATTCCAGTCTATCTTGAAGTCTAGGAAACTTTCTGCATGAATCAGGGTCAAAGTCAGTGCTTCCCTGAGGGTCAGGGCACCCCAGAGCAGTCAGAGAAATATTCCCAGTGCCCTGGGCTTTCACAATAAACAATCTTCAGAGGTGGTGTTTTTTCACTTTGTTTTCCTATTCTTCTCAAGGACGATGTGTGAGAAAGATGTCTTTTATTAACTAGCCAATCAAGTGGAATGTATCATATTGGTCTATAAAAACTGAAGAATCCTTTGTAACAAGGCCTTCTTTTCTCCTCTTGCAATTGGGTCTCCTTTCTGTTCTCATGTCACTCTTGGCTCAAGGTTGACATCATACAGCAAACTACCTCCTGTGGAGAACCAGGGCAGGGATTCCCTCCTCAGACCAGCAAAGTTTGGCACTGAAGGTTAATTTAGGAGGAGTGGTGCTATGAAATAGACACTCACTTCCTTGGGTGGCGTGCCCTTGTCTGCCTCGCTGCAGGCGTGGGGCTGGGGTCTGCGGCTGCGGCGGGCTCTCTCCGTGGCAGGAGGCCTGTCCAGCTCGGTGCTGCTCCGCAGGGTGACAGCTCTCCGGGGCCGGGCAGACGGCACCTCGGCCGAGGACGTGTCCGTCTGGTCATCGCGCAGCTCCGAGCTCGTCTCCTCGCTCCCCGTCTCATCCTCCATCACGTCCGCTTCGTCCTCCTCGCTCTCCTGCAGGCACAAACAGCATCCAGGAGATGGACACAGCAGCAAATCCAAAGGCACGGGGTCAAACTGCACTCCCATGGCCGTGCTGGTCCGGGGTAACATTTATTTTAACTGAATTACCTCGTTTTTGTTACTGCGCTAAGTGAATTAGCCCTCGATTTAGGTTTGTTACAAAACGCAGAAGAAAAAAAAAAAGTAGGTGGCAGGAAATTCTTTTTCTCCTCCCAACTAAAGGTCAACAGCAATAACTCATCTGGCATGAAATGTTCCTCTCTTGGGCTGGTATCTCAAAACTTGTGGCGCTGCGGATGCGCAGGAGGAAAAGTGGAAAATACTAAGAGGAGAAAATTAAATTCCGGCTTAAGAGGATAAAATTAAATTCACATGAAATAAATTCAGAAACAGGCTTGACTTTAAACTTTCACATTGCTTCAAATTGGTTTGGGTGTTATTGCTCCTGAAAAAAGGGCAGTTTTGGTGCCTTTTGAAAATGTCTAGATGTTCAAGATAGCACTCTTTAGTGACATTTCTGCAAAACTCAGGACAGAGGATTTCACCTAGATTTCTCTGCTTTCAGCCTAACACTGAACTGCTGGAGGTGAAGCCCTAAGTTCCATCCGAAGTATTATAGCAGATTCTTGTTATTTCTGTCACACAGGGCTTTACAAGCACTCACCAACTGATGGAAACTGTGCATTTTGAACTTTATATATAACTTGCCCAAATGGCTTGGACAGCTTATCTGTGATCCAAGTGTGAGCAGGCACCTAAAGCCATATGCTCAGGTCTTGAGTGAAGAGCAATTTAGACAAAGATAGTTGTATTGGCTGAAAGCTTGAAAAACTTGGCTAATGGTTGATTTAGGCTTAACATAAGTTTAAGTTCCTTTGAAGCAGGTATAATCTAAGGAAATGAAGCAGAACTACACCTAAATCAGGACCAAGCCATGAAGATGCACGCAATCAACTGAAAGCTGAATAAAATAACCTACTCTAGCTGAAGTGCAGGGAATTTAAGTAAACCAATTTTATTTCACAGCACAAAGCAGCAATCACTGGCACTCAGCTGAGGAAGTGAAACCACACATGAGCTCTGTTATTGCCACCATGGGAAAAGCCCCCAGAAAACAGCCCACACAGAACTAAGTCTATTCCAGGTTTAATTTGGACATGAATCTTTGCTGAGGCTCAGAACCTGTTGTATCATACAGCAGACTGGAAAGACCGAGCCCCCAAATTCCATGTATTTGGGACACAAACCATTTACTTGTATGCTAAGGCTTGATGTTGTGAGCCAAAAATATTAGGAATAGTTAATGAAAAAAACCTCCTTGAAACCACAATGGCTATGAGGTATTATTATTTATTACAATACTTGGAGATCTTAGACATGGATCACAGAGCTCCTTCACACTGCTAAATACTGTGCAAAGCATACAACAGGCTCATCTGCCTGCTTTTCAGGAAGGAAATAAAATAAAGAGATATTAGAGCATGTCAGCCAGTGAGCACTGGAAAGGTGAGAGCAAAAAATCTGCCTGCTGCTTCTGAAATGGACAAGGTAAAAATCCCCAAAGTGCCCCAATAAAACCAGTCTGATCTTAAAAGAACAGAGCAGCAAGGAAGAATCCAAACTAGAAACTGGAAATGTTCAGGTGTGCTGAGGATAAAACCAGTCTGATCTTGAACAGAGCAGCAAGGAAGAATCCAAACTAGAAACTGGAAATGTTCAGGTGTGCTGAGAAGCCCCCCAAAAGGAAAATGCAGAATGGGGGACTTGAAGAAGGCACCAAGGGGTTTTTGCTGGTTTATCCAGTGTGACACAAACCTCTGCAGAGCCTGCAGCATTCGAATCCACAGCTGATGATCTCCTTTTCTTCTGCACAAAGATGGATTTCCGCCTCTTTCTGCGTCTGGCTGGCTTGACATGGCCACTTTTCATGTTGTTATTTTCCCCAATCGGCGGCTTAATGATTTTTTTCCTTTTCCCGTAATAATAAGCTGGAGAAATGAAGCACAATGCCCATTAAAAACTTTAACCACCCAAAGAAGGGAACCTTGGCTTGCTCCTTGCTACAACAGGCTCAGGACTGTACTCTAAGTGCAATTTAAACTTTAAAATACATTGATTTGGAAAAAAAAAAAAAAGTACAGCATAAATAGGTCATGTTGGACTAGCACAGAGTGTTACAGCTCTTATGTATCCAGATTTATTGATGATGAATGAAGACTTCAGAATTTAACAATGTGTTTAGGCAGAGCTGAGCAGTGATTTGGAGGGAAAGAGGCCAAAAAGTTCCAGATTTGATCCAATGCAGTTCTGTGTGAGGTAAAGTTGCTGAAGTTTTCAGCAGAGAGGGGAGAGGGCCAGCTAGCCTCAGTCATGTACAAAGGAATAGCTTTTTATTACTTTTAACTATTTTGTGGTCCAGGTTGAAATTAAGGATGTGAGAGCCCTCTGACCTTGCATGAAACATTTGTATTAAATGCCTTTTGACACACTGGGGATTAAACACACTGTCCTTGACAGCAAGGGTATCCCAGGTCAACTAAAATGGCCCCTGGCATCCATGGCAAAGTTAACTGAACTGAGCCTTTCAGCAAATCAATGGAGTTTTGAGAAAAAATTCATCGAGTCACATAAACCATCAACTTTGAGATGGGAAAACCTCAGCTGGAGCTGAGTGGAAGCCAGGACTCCAGCTCAGGTGTAGATTTCTACAGAAACCCATCCCCAGGGATCTCAGTATCCCCTCGAGCATGTTCCTCCTTCTACTGGCACCAAACTGAAGAGAATTGCTTTAGATCAATTACACTGCTTTTTGCAACCTTTGTGGAAGAAGGACAACACTCACTTCCACTTTCCTAACCTGTCTGAGAGCCAATAATACCACTAATATTGACAACAAAAAGCACTGAACACTAACAACAGCCTTCCTGAACAGGCAGGATCATGTTTAAATATTAAACACTCTGAGTAGAGAGTCAGTGTTCAAACCTTCCAGCACCTCAGCACTGTGGTTCTGGCCTGTGCTGGTGTGTATGTCAGGAACTCTTTACAAGGAGGATTCATCTCACCTAACGAAGCTGTCTCAGATGCAGCAAGTTAAAATCTCAGCTTCCCACTGCAGGTTCCTTTTATGTGCTCCATGTGTTAACTTTAGATATGAAGAAAATTCAAGACTTCCAAAAAGTAATTATGTTCAAACAGATGAATGAGGATGGAGTGAGAGGGACAGTTTTCTGATACACGATTCTAAGGGAACCTGTGGTGGCCCCAGGATTAAATAACTGCTCTTAGATGAGATGAATGCTCATCAGTATTAACATATCACACAACTCCTGTTCTTCACCACACACCATCTCCCACTTCTCTGGCTCCCAGTCAGCACCAAGAGGCATTTTTCCAATACTCACTGTACTTGGTTTTGGTGTGGATGGAGCAGTTCTCGGGGCAGACCTCAGCCACCAGCACAGGGCTGAAGAGGTTGGGGCAGCACTCGAGCTTGGCACAGACCCTCCTGCAGAAATCTGCCACCTGGTCCGACGTCCGCACGATCTTCACGGTTGCCCTGTACGTCTTCCCCCTGTACCTAGGGAGGAGGACAGGACCCCACGTCACCCATCCAGCAAAATCCTGTGGTGCTGCACACCAGACTCTCCTCTGCCAGGGAGAGATCCTCCCCAGGGACTTTTGAGAGAGTGCCTCTCTTGAGAATGCAGGCAGAACAGGTCTACTTTTTTTAGTGGCTCCATTTCAGATGGACTTGAGGAAGGAAAGGGTGAAACAAATTGAAGGTGTGGACATGGGTTGGGAAGGAATCTATGTGCACACTGGATATATCTGTAGATATAGCAAGAGAAGGAAAAAAATCTCAGTAGGCTTGCACAGGACAGCAAGCCCTTACTGTGAACTGATGCAAAGGTTTTGGGAGAGGGATGCAGTCTCTCTTCATGTATTGACCCACGATCAGATGCTTATACACCTTGCAGAGCTTTCGGGTCACCAACCTGTGTTTGGACTGAACTCTCTAACCCTTCAGTGCACTTTTGGTTTTCTCCATTGTCATCTTTCCTGCTCCCATATCCTGTTCCAGCTCCCAACAATCCCCAAGACTCATGGTGCCAGCTGTGGCTATCAGGACACACTCATTGTGAAGAAATATCTGGGTGAACAAACAATCTCTGCCCCTCCAGGACCAGATGACTTCACCACTCTTGAGACGTGGACACTACAAAACCTGAGGAACTCATCAGGAGTCTCTGGAGTTATTTAACAGGGCTGCAGCAACAGGCCCTAAAAACTGATTCCTACAGGGAATGCTTGGAGCAGAAACCCGCAATGAAAGGTTTGTCTTAAATTTGCTACGGCACTAGAACATTTATTTCGGTGTTTCATATGAAGTGTTTCTGAGTGATAAATGGCTGTGAAAGATACAGTTACATCCCTGCTGTAGTACATTGTAGATGTGAACCCTGGAAAACCAATTATCCCTGTAATTTATTAAACAGCAGCAGCAAGCTGTTGTAAACAGTGAGATAAGGTTTTTAAAACATCTCTTACGCATCCTGAGGAATGCAACACGAGAAACAACAGTGCCAGAGCCCGGTGCTGGCATTACAAACGTGCTCAGAGGAGGGAAAAGTAACACAAAACAAAAGAAAAAGAAGGAACAACAGTGGAAGAAAGATTACTGGATGGGAGGCAAGGAAAGACAAAGATACAGTCACCAGGAAAAATGAAACAAAGCATTTGTCAGTGTATTAAGATCCGCAGTTTCCTAGCAGCTGCTGATAGATATGGGAGAGGAAGAGGAGGAGGTGGTGAAATAACGATGTGGCCAGTGAGTTAAAACATTCAGACAGCTCTTTCTGAAACAAAGGGGTGTGGGAAAAGGGTTCGAAACTGTGGCACATGAAATGTTATAAAGGAGAAACCCAAATGAAACTTGGGTCTGAGAACAGCTCGGTCCAACCATCCTCAGTTCGCAATCCAAATTATCACCTAAGCATAAAACCCAAATGAGCATTCCTGCAAGGTGCCAGGCTCTGATACCCCTTTTGGTGCCAAGACAATCCTGGATTCATTCACCTGAATGCATGAATGACTTAATGAGCCAACTTTTCACACACCCTTAAAGACCTGGACAGATGATGTAAAAGGGAAAAAGTGTTCCTTTCAGGTACAGAGCACTGTTATGATCCCAGCTTCCCTATGAAACAGCTGCAAAGGCAGGCTGGCTGAGCAGGCTTTGGCAATACCTGATACCAAAACCACTAAATGCCACAGGCATTTAAATGCATCTACTTATAAAAGTTTTATATTTCTTTTCAATGTGTTTGAAAAGACTCCTGCACTTATTACTTCTCCAGGAGCCATTAAGTTTAATGACAGCCTGGATCGTTTGGTCAGTGAGTCTGCTCTCAGAGATGGGCCGCAGGATTTCACTGTGCTGCTTTCACCTGTACCCAAATACCTCCACTTGGACTAAACCAGCACTTCCAGACAAGCACCAGCCTCAAGGGTCTCCACACTGGAAGAATCATGGCACAGGGAGCATCTGTACCTACACCTCATTTTATGTCTGGATGCATCTGAATTTAACTCTCATTTATTTGTCCTTGTTCTGACTTTCACCACTAGGATGAAAAGACTGCATCTGGTTTTGTTTCCCTGCAAAAGCACTCTAATCAAATTGCCTCTGATCTTCTTTCTTATAAGCTAAGAAAGCTGCCTGATGGGTATTATTCAAGGATGGCTGACTTTTTCTAACTGTGTGCTTCCTATTGTGTTTGGCTGCCCAGGAAGGACCCATTGTACTACAATGCCTGCTGAAAGGAAAAGATGAAACCAGGAAAATGAACAACTGACTGATTTCATCGTCTGCTTTGAATGCAACACACATTTTAATTAACAGAGAGGATGGCAAAATGGAGATCTCCATGACTGCAGCAATCAGTCTCAATAACCCAAGGTGTTAGTACTGGCCACAGCAATATTTTTTACATCATTTTGGTCTTGGCAGCACCTCTTTCAACTATAAACCAGGTTCTACTAATATTTTCCATATTCCTCACACACTAAAGATTTTTAACACAGGCACCACCAAATGTAATCTGAGCTGTTTCTAGGACAGCCATGTGGAAGGACCTCCTTTGTCAGAAAACATTTTCCATTAGCATCTCTCAAAAAGTTACCAACTACTGATGCTCCTATTTATGATTTTATACCAGGGCTCCTATCTTCTCAACCACTTGCAATCAAGTACCTGCCTGCATAGAATGGCAGCACTGGAGACCTGGAAAATTGCTGTGTCAAGGATAATATTTTTGGTTTTCTTAGAAATCTCTGTTCTCTTTTTAAAAAAAAAAAAAAGGAAAGATTTTCCAGCTAAAACCAAAGGAATCTTTCCTCTTCCCCTTTCTCTGCCCTCAGATGCCAAACTCAGAGAAAACCTTAAGGCTGGAACTATTTCCATGAAAAATACATTTGCTGATCCATGAGCAAAAATATTAAATGAACAGCACTTTGCAATAGAATTCTTCTGTTGAAGCTCCTTAAAATAGATTAGAGGTTCATGACAACATAGTGCCTTCCAGAAGCTCCAGTTATGGACTGCTGTGTGATGACACAGAAAGTCTTTTGCTGAAAAACTTCAAAAAGCAAGAACATTGAGAACTTCATTTTCAAAAGTCCCATTTTCTAAGGCAATCTGACAATTCTTGAGACTAATTTGAACAACTAAAATGTCTCAATTTCCTTTTGGGGGACTGAAAACTCTTTTCTGTTCTTTGTAAGAAATTTCTATTTTGTCTGTCAACCTTAAAGTGTGCCAAACATAAGGAGTTAACTTCCTTCAAAGCTATTTAATCTTCCAATGGCATTTTGTACTCTTGAACACAGGATTTGGAAAGGGCACTGGAATGCTCTGGTTGTAAGGCCTTGTCTCATTAAGTCTCCTGATTACAGAAATAAAAGGTTTAAATCATTCCACTGATCCTGGCTTGTAAAGCCTTGCTCAAAATGAACACAAATTAATTCCCACTGTTTCTTCCTCAACCCTTAACCAGTTACTTCATCATATCAGGCACAGCTCTCCCTTTGCTTCTTGCCAGTCCCCTACTGGTCCTGCATGTTCTCAGAAATGGCTTCCAAGAGGATCTGGCTAATCACCTTTCCAGGAAAACTGAGCTGACGGCGTATAGCTACTTGGATCCTCCTTCCTGCCCTTCCTAAGGAGGGGCGTGATAATTGCCTTTTTCCAAAAATTAGGATTCTTCCCTCATCTTCATCAACTTCCAAACACACCAGAGAGTGGCCTTGCAATGACATTGCTCTCCCAGGTGGAGCTGGCTGCATCCCAACTGCTTCCATGCACTTGTGCACATCCACTTTGCTCCCAGTGTTTTTAGATTATTTTCCACGTACTGTGGGTAACACTTCACTCCCTCAAACAGGATCAGGGCTCTGGATAGCCTGAGAGCAAACCCTCACTAGCAAAGGCTGAGGCAAAGAAGATTTCAAACACCTCACCTTATCACAAGTTAAAGGCAGTCTTCTAAAGCAGCTGCAGTGAAAAGGCTTTCTTTGAAATGCTGCCTCATAAATAAGCAATGATGTCTGGCATAGGGGTAAATATTCCTAGAGTTCAGCTACTGGATTTGAGCAGCTCTCAGGATTTCATTTAATGAAGGAGTCCAGGAAGATTCATCTTTATTATTTTGATCAACTGGGCTTCATACAAGACCCAGGAGACAACTTTGTGCACACAATGCTTTTGTTTATGTCCAAGGTCCTGCAAAAATGAGTAAATCCAAACAGCCCCATTATCAGCCCGTAGAAATGAAAACCCTTGAAAAGCATAAAGTTCCTTAAGCATTTTATGTAAAACTGGGAAGACAAATCAAGATGTAGGCACTGCACTTATGAGCATCAAAACTATAAGGGTTGAAGCCGACAGCTTCAACTGGCCCTCACGGGAACTCAGGAGGATCAAGTCTGACATTTCTAACCCATCATCACCAATAAATCAGGTTTGACTCTTCTCACACGGAGCTGGCAGCACTGATGGGAAGCAGCTGCCATCACACACTGCAAACACATCTCTCTGGACAATCTAAATTGTTTCATCTTCTTTGCAAGGTGAGTCTAATTGATTCCACAGTGGTCACTCATGGCAGCATAGTGAACTAAACACAGGCTGCTCCAGCACTGAGATAATGCTTTCCTGGCACTGCAAAACCTTGCATTTGGAACAGTGGGAAAAGCAGCTTTCTCTTCACCCATCCCTTTGCTCTACCCTACTGCAGGCACTGCAAACACACAGCACTGCCAAGATCCAAGGAGGTGCCAGTCCACATCAGAAAGAAGGTGACAAGTTGTGTCCCATCACAGCCGGCTCTGGAGCTGCCATGCTTAGCAACAGGCACCATCCAGAGCCCATGGAGCTGGAAGTTGCTCACTGCAGATCTCTGTTGCTCATTACAGGTCTCTGTTTAAGATTCTGGAGCACTGTCACACCTGGTGGAAGGTGTCATGTGCTGTTTGTATGTTCCACAGTATCTGGTTTCATGACTGTGTTTTCTTTTTTGCTCCTGAACAACCAAATGCAATTAAAACTTCTGGATGGAGCAACTCAAGCAAACCAAAACGGAAAGAAAGACAAAGTCCTAGGGTAGCCAGACAGTCTTGGGGCATGTCAATCCTCTGCCATCCACTCTTAGAAGTACTCAAACTACCCCCAGACAAGCTGGCACCACCACCAAGCACTGCCCTGTGAAGAGATCACTCACAGAAGCCAGAGAGCTGCAGGAACCAGGCGCTGTCCAGCCTCATGAGCAGTCTCCTCAGGAGCCAGAAGAAAATGACACACTGGAGGACTGCCGCTCTCAGAAGGCACTTCAAAACTTGCTGTCAGGCTCTGAGCCTGTGATGATCCATTCTGTGGCTTAATAAAGTTCTAAGATGCTGCCTGACTCCCTGAAGAGCTGAGGTGGATACCTGCTGGGGCAGCCAGCACACAGGAACACAAACATGGGCTGTGACTGGGGGGCCAACATAAAATACTATCATGGATGGTCAGTTAGACATTTCCCAGGCTGTCTCCCATTAGAAACACGGACTGCAGCTTTAAGAAATAGGTATTTCTGATTTTGCACAAGGCAGATCCCCACACTCAAATGAGAAACTCCAACAAAATCCTACTCATGATACAACTAACAGGAAAACTGCCTGTAAGCTCAGTTCTTTGCAGGAGAGGATGTTAAGTATATAGGGTACAGGAACAACTTGATTTCACAACTGCTAAGTACCTGCAGGAGTGCATTATCGAGATATTTGTAGCACAAGATGTGAGATCCTGGAATCAATGAAAACCAGGTCATGGACAAAGACCTGTTTTATATTAAAATCTTCATGCACAAAGTTGACTTTTAGGCTTCCATCCATAACAAACACAAAACCCTGACACTCTACATGGGTGAAGGCAGCAAATTAAAAATAGGATGTTTCTAGTAGATTTTAATTTCAGTTTGCAATCCTCCTTTAGGAAATCAGTTTAAGTGCACACAGAGTAAAAGTTCCTCAACTCCCTCCCTCAACCAGAGAACACATGAACTTTCTGCAATATCTGCATGGGCAAAGATCAAATACAGTAGCCATCAATAGTGCTGTGTTTGGCAGCTATTCATATCAAATAACCAAGAGAAAATTGCTTTTCTTTGGAAAGGAGTTACAGAGTTCAGTACAAAGGGTGATATTCACTGCATTTAACTACAGTACTTAAAAAGTCAAGGTGACCATTAGTCAACAAAGAAAGCTTTCTTCAAAGAAACATTTATTGAGATCCATCTTCAAGTGGGAAGAATTATTCTTCAGAAGGACTCTGGATAGAGCTTAGGTGAGACTCCCCTCTTTCAGAGAGACAACAATTGTTGAAATACATCCTAAGTATAGTGCCCATTATAAAGTAGACATAAACAGGTAGATTTTAATGCTGGAAGGAGGAATTCTGTATTCTTGGTGCTGTTTAGAAGAGAATTGAAGAATATATTCTAGAAAGGCATCAAATTTTATCCTGAATCTCTGATCTGTTACTACTTTGCCCTAATCATACTCCTGCTAAAAAATGTGTCCCTGCTAATTTGTTTGAACTTTTTTTGGTACCATTCATTCTCACCAGTTTTTTCTGCATTAGCCTGAAAGGCTCTAATTTAAAAGCAGCCATATTCCTCCATTTAGAAAGCCAGGAATTGAGTTCATTCAGTAATAGCCAAGTTTGTAAGAACAGCTTATCATAAAACTCAGGACTTGAGTTCATCATAAACTGGATGGCTGCTTGGAGAAAGACAATAGAAATGTACTGTTCAGGTGAATATTTCATTTCTGAAGTTACTATGAATGAGTCAAATAATTCAATGAAGCAAAACGATCATTAGAGAAGTAAAACTCTCACAATAGAAAAAAGCCCTTTTCTTATCTTTTTTTTTTTTTTTCCCTAGTCAGTTTCCTTTCTGAAACCTCCCAAATAAAAGAACACACATTGAAGACTTACTTTGCTTTAAGTGTTTCCTCCTGGAAATTCCACTGAGGGTCTTCCACAAGCTGCAGTTCTCGTAAAACACTCCCTGGCTTGTAAGCTGCATTGATCACCATGCTGAGAACCTACGGGGAGATAAAACCAACAACAATGATGGGTTTAAAAGTAGTCCTTGAACACACTGAATAAGGTCCCAGGTGCTGCACAGGCAGGAGCAGCATGCAAGTGCTTGTTTCTGTCCTGGTTGCACACATTAAGTGCTGGATGCAAGGAAGAGGGGTCTCAGAATGGATCATTGTTGCCATTTTATAGATAACACCTGAGTCTGAAAAGGTACTCAAAGTCTGAAAGGTACCAAAAGAAAACCCATTAAATGCTGCTGTTTATCACCAAAAATCTGCTAACTAGTGATTTTGTCTTTGTGACAGACCCTCTCACCCAAAGCAGATTCCACAGACTGCACCCATCGTGGACCAGTTTAATAAAAAAATGAAAACAGAAATAGCTCTGAAGGCACAACCACGTACAGGTCATGTGCACCACCACACAGTGAACACTGAAGGGGAAATTCACGTATTTCAGGTCAGCAATGTGCTGAAGAGCCTGAGAGTTGTGTGCCTTGACTGCATTAACAGAATAGCAATGAAGTCTCCACAAAAAGAGTTTGCAGGAGGTATGCCTGGAGCTCAGTGTGTGTCCACTCCGTACAAGAGAACACATGTGCCAATCCTTTTAATCCAAAGTCACTGAGAATAAAAATGGTTCTTGCTATTGGCTCAGGAAATCCAAGCTTTAATAGCCTACACTTGGCATAGGGAGATAAACACAAGGAAAACAAATCTCTTAACAGCACCAGACCGTGTGTTTGAACACTGTGCATTGTATGCACATGAGTGATCCCACAGTGAATCTGGATTGGTTTTCATCTAATTTAGCTCGTTACCTAATGCCTGTTCTTAATTCCTTGGGGGCCTGCAAATTATTTCAGTATGATGAACATTAAGTTTATCCAGCAACCATGAACAGAGTTCATCAGAAATTAAAAAATAACTAGGTCATACTGCAGTGACCAATGTGTTTGTGTTTGTTTGGCTGGCTTTTTCTGGGTTGGTTTTTTCCCCCTCTAAATTCAGCAACCTGAGGATTTGCTAGCATTTTGAAAACCCTACAGGATTAATCATTTTCAGGCAAGGGCTTCACTTAATGCTGTAGAGTACTCTGTAAAATGGCACTGGCTGGAGTTGCTTGGATAGGTTATTTACTAGAAGCAAAATTTAATTTATCATTGGGCCCCTGGAAACATAATTCAAACCACTCTTCAAAAAAGTCCAATTAGAGACACCAAACACTGACAGAGGGTAGATTTAGACTGGATATGAGGAACAAATTCTTCCCTGTGAGGGTGGTGAGGCCCTGGCACAGGTTGCCCAGAGAAGCTGCAGCTGCCCAATCCCTGGCAGTGTCCAAGGCCAGGCTGGATGGGGTTTGGAGCAACCTGGGATAGTGGAAGGCGTCCCTGCCCATGGCAGGGAGTGGCACTGGATGATCTTTATGGTGCCATAGAACCCAAACCATTTTAAAATGCTATGAAAAGACAGTTTCTGAGTGAGCCCTTCCAGATGCTCACACACATCTCTCTTGCTGGTCTCCCCCCACACAAACTGAGGGGCACTGGCCTCTGACACCTGGTGTTAGGAAGCCACAAGTGGGTTTTCAAAAACATCAACTGCCTGGGGAGCTGCCACACTCATTCACAACTCATCAGGTGCCTTGATCAGCAAATCCAGGGAGTTTTTAACCCCTGTGCAGCAGTTTGTTGGGAAAGCTCTCCGTAAGCACAGTTCCAGACCCACCCTGCTGGCTGGTGGGACATCTGGGGCAGAAAGCATCTTGCTGACCAATTTCCACCAGCAGTGCTGTCCTGCCCCCCCCACCAGTGAAATGGTGCTTTTTATGAGTTGTCAGAATAGCTGGGAAATGAGCAAGAAAAGAAAACCCAACCCTGCAATACCAGTGTGGCCCTGTCTGGGCGTTCTCCCAGACACCTAATCAACTCCAGCCCTCCACAGGCACCCACACTGCCAGGACTTTTCTCAAAGCTGGCTTGTCACCAGCAGGACTCTGTAAATTTCTAAACTCAGTTCAAAAAATGAGTGTTTTGTAAGAACAATTATTTCCTTTTCAGGGAAGGAAAAAAAATTAAAACCTCTGGCTTTTACTGTTTTTGTATCTCAAGTGAGTCACTGGGTTTGGCATTTTATTCTACAGCAAAGGTTCATCATCACAGTAACAGTGGTACCTTACAGCAACAGTATCACTTCATACTGCACTCTATTAAATGCAAACAAACAGAATTTTGGAAAAAAAATTAACTGTAATTTAAACAAAACCAGTAAAGAAACCTATACCAGTCTCCAGCTTTCTCTGGAGATGGAAAAAAACATCAACCATCCCAGATCGGTCAAATTTCCTTTGGTTGGAGTGTGACCAATCAGAGATTTTGGTGGTTTAACTTCAGCCCTCTGCATCAGGAATGGTTTGGATGCAGCCACCTGTGCCTTGGAGCACAGGGGGGGATTAGGCAAGCTCAGCCTTTGCTGTTATCCATCAGTGAGGTTTTCTTTTGATGCTGCTGACCTTTGGTTTTTTCAGAGCTGAGTGAGTTGGAGCCACACCAGTGAACATGATCAGGCAGCACCATCACAAGCCTCTGCCCCACCTCACAAGCACCTGATATTCTTAAAGTTCTCCATGTCATGTATTTTCATGTGCACAGGGGCTCTTTTTTGAGTACATCTGGTGTGCCTGATGCCACTGGGCAGTTCAGCACTTTTCTTCCCATCACAGCTCTTTGGTGTTCACACATTTCCCATCTCCATCCCCCTTGAAACAGTCTCAAGTTTTGAGATGGATGAAGTTTTCTTAAGAAAACTCCTAACTTCCTAATTTTCACTGTCAAGGTACAGCTAAAAATATAATCACATCTCTTTTCTCCTATTCAAAACCTCAATGATCAGCATTCTTATGAGGAGAAACTCAATTCCCCTCCTCTATCTGAGATACAATCCCACACTCCTACCTAACAAGAGATGCTAAATCCCAGGGTGGCCTCAAAGCAGGGCAGTAAACTTTTTTTTTTTTTTAAACTTGGAATACTGATGTATCTGTGGAACAGAGAGAGGAGAGCAAAGAGTTATCTGGGATTCTTTCATTAGATGATCAAGGATCTAAAAGGCATCTTTTTGCCCATTTTCTTTTTAAATAGAGAAAGAGCAAAGTGTCTTAAAAATAGTACGAGCAGTAAGCAATGAAGCTAATTAATCTTTACAGCATATTTCTCCAAGATATGAGGGGTTATAGATCATCTGGAGTCTTAAGAAGACACCTTGTTTTATTTTACAATGTTGCTGAGGAGTTCTTGGCACATATGAATAACTTTTTGTGCTTCTTAGATATTCTGACCCCAGGATTAAAACTAAAGCTGACCATGTATTTATTTTAATTCACCTTCAAGTCAGCCTTTATGATATAGAACAGCTACCTTAAGTCACCACTTTCCAGCCCAGGTGCAAGGCTGGATGGCAGTAGCTGATGTTTCCATTGTATTTGGCTCCAGGTTTCAACTTGTTTTCCAAGAAAATACTTCAGAAATGAGACAAACTTTGCAGCTGATGTCAAACAACAGCCACTGCCACCTCACTTGCCTCTTCCAGTGAAAGGAACCACAATTACCAGTGGTACCAGCAGAAAACTTGTGCTGGCACTGGGAATAACGAACAGCGAGGCTGTAAAAATAAGTTTGGTACTTAACTACACAAGAGTTACTTGTTACTCAGCTAAGATTTTGGGATTCAAGGCTACACAAACAGGATGATGTTTCACTGCATCAGTGGTGGAGGTAAGGACCTTGGGTGGAAAGGGCTGAGGAGCATCAGGAACTTCAATTGTGCTGCCATTTTTTACCTCCACCCTGCCCATGGCTCTCTGTGCTGCTGGCACCTCTCTCATCTCAGCAACAGCTACCAGGAATCAGGTGTCTCTCCCCTACAGCAACACCCTGAATGTTTTCTTTTCATCCTTTCCAGAATTTGGAATTGGTTCCCATGGTTAGAACGAGCTTGAGTTTATGACCATAATAAGCTTGAATATTTTCTGCAAAGTAACGCAGACCAGTGCTGGGTCACTGCCATTGTCCTGCTCCTTGGGAAGTTGTTTATGTCTCCAAAATGAGATGCCCATGTCTCCATGACACTGCTATTTGCTCCTGTGTTGATGGCAACCCACACTAAAGTTGCTTCCAAGCAACAGAACTCTCCATGTTTCAAAAACATCAGCTCTCCCAACAAAACCCACAATGCAAAACCTGCCCCTTCTTCCTGGCTTGCAGTTTTGCCTCATTGAGCCCACTCCACGACAATTTTAGGTGCATTGTTTGCAAATTCTGGGTCTGGCAAGCCATGACCCATACTTTCCTCTGAAATCCCCCCAAAAGAGAGCTGGGCCATACCTCCTTGAGGACCAGAACACACTTGCCAGGCCCCACAGACTGAGGTAGCTCTGCAATCCTGCCTTTGTTTAAATATGGACCTGAGAAGCAGCGGTGGTTGATGTAGAGCTGGGGGCAGCAGTACCTCCCATTGATGGTGCCTGCAAGGAGAAAGCAGCAGTGAGGTGCCTGCAGTACTTTTATACCATAAATCAAAGGCACTTTATTATTATTATCATTGTTTTAATTGAAGGGATGGGACTACAGTTGGGTTAAAAATAATTTATTGTTTAAATGAACATTAGTCTTAGAGGCTGTGAGATTTAAGAGTTACAAGATAATATATAACTTTCTAATCTAATGGATATTTGCCACAAAGTTTGTTTTTCTAACTTATCACCTTTACTTACTTCTACTGTAATGTGCATACTTTCATCTAATGGGTTACTATCACATGTACACACATATGCTTTTATTATAACTTCTAAACTCATAGCTTATTCTATACAATTACACCCTTACATTATAAACCCTTCACTATCTTATCAATACAGTTTCTCACTTAAGGTACATTCTTACTTATAACTTTAGAAAAATAAGTTTATGAATTTTTTGTTTAATGTCTGCATACTTTATTTCTACATCAATTCAAGCTTCTTCCAAGGCTGCAAATTAAACCCTCCTGTGCCTGTGGAAGTTTCTATTTTTCTATTTTCCACACTTCTTCCTCCTAGATGTGGGAGGAAGGGGAGGAGCATAAAGGAGGCACAAAATTCAACCCTGGGATAGAGGGTAGGGAAGCCCCTGCTTATGTCCTGACATAACCCAGGGAACCCATCAGGTCCTGCTGTACCCAATTACATTGGTGTCAATTAACAACCTGCACCCATCTCCACCAGAAAGATTCGTTAGCCTTGTCTTAATATCATCTTCTGAAATGGGCAAGCTCCAGGGGAACTCTGATAGCCCCAGCAAGACACGTGGAGAACCAGACCCTCACCTGCTGTGCATCAGGTGGGTTCACTCCACCTTACACCCCCTGAGGATGTGGCTTCCATCTCCCCACCCCTATGAGAACTCACTGTCTTTTTGGGGTCCTCCCCTTCCATAAAGGACATGGGTCTTTGAAACAAGGATCTTTACCTGTTGTGTCTAGCTGAGGAACCGGGCAGAGGTCATGAGGTATTTTCTCAACAGGCACTGTGGATGGTAACCTGTTAAAAGAGAAATTGGGTGTATTTAATACAGTATTTGGTGTTTTTAACAGCATCAGACAGGACAAAGGGCCAGAACCAGTCCCCAGGCTGGACCAGAAGCTACACCAGCAACAGCCTGCGATGAGGAACAGAGGCAACTCCAACACAATTCCACTTCCATATGGCTGATCACAGACCAGGGTATTGCAGATGGAGGAGCCAGATTCACCCCTTCTATAAAAATATACTCTGATGTGTCATCTTTAGACCCCCAGGCTTCAAATATCCTCCCTTGAACCCCTTAAATTCAAGTTTCTTAAAACTGCAAGAGCTAGACAGGGAAATGCCCTCCTGGTATATGTCCATCTTCCCTAAGCATCCCTTGCTGGCCATCAGACAGGGGTTGTAGAGCTCCAGCCAGCAAAAAATTGCTGTTACAGAGACTTTCTAATATGCTAACAAATATTTCAGGCTTAAAAGAGTCCTCTTGCTGGCTGTGCTGCAGTATCTGAGCAGTAGTTACCAAGCCACACAGCTGCTGTGTATTATCCCCCCTGGAAGACCTGATGCATTCCTGTGAAAACACCACCTTAAATAACAAAAAAAACCAAAACAACTTACTGTTTTTCTGGTTGCACAACTGCAATTCTCCTCTTCCTTCGTACTGCAAAAATGAAGCAAGAAAGAAAAAAAAAATGTTTTGTACCCTTCTGTCCTGTTAAGTACACCCAGAATGCATAAAAAGCTGTGTAAATGCACTGACTATAAAATGACTTTGAACACAATGAAATGGTACTTAATTACTATCACCATCTTTTCTTGGTATTTTTTTAAGTCAGTCACTACATCATTAAAACCTACTTTAAGGATGTAATAATACATTTAATCTTTCCTCTGGAATGCTAATATTGTGTTTTATGGGATCAGCATAAAAGAAAAAAAATTAAAATAAAAACACAAATATTTTTCCATACAGAAACACATATGGATAAGATTACATTTTACAAGCATGATTACCTCCAGCATAATTTATCCCTAGCAATAACTTGTGATAAGGCTGCATAATGTTGCCATAGCAGTATTCTCCTAAATTAGGCTCTGGCTGCCTGATTTTTAACTTAAGCATATTTAACTCTTCGAAAGGGATGTTATATTTTAAAATTTGCCTTTCGGATGTTAATTAATATAAACAATGAGGCCAATTTTTCACCTGGTGGCTTGAGACTGGATATGTTGGAACAGGAGAACAACACCAAGTTACCGAGTTCTCATGAACTGCCTTCAAATGCAAATAGAAAGAAATTTGTCTTAATAGGCACTGGAGGCAGGACAAAAAACTTAATGGGCTTAATTGTGTTGTGGGGGGACTTAAACTGAACACTAGGAAAATCTCTGAGCTGGCAAGGGCAGGGAAATAAGGGACAGATACCCTGGGAAAGGGCAGAAATTCCATCACAGAATGGCAGCAATTATTTCTCCATTTAGAAGGAGCAGATGTTTTGGAAAGGGGCACCTGGATGGCCTCTCTAATGTCCATTTCACCTGACATTTTAGGGTTTTTGTTGGTTTTTTTTTTCAATTTGAGGTCTTTGTCCCCAATCCACTCAGCTGCCTGAGTGAATCTGGCTCAGCACAACAAAACCTGGTTTCCCTCTGACAACCCCACTGACCAACAACCCCTCTGCAAACCCACAAGCCCCTCTGCAATCCCAACCCTTGGAATAGCCTTCCCCAGCACAGACAAACCCATTTTTGGAGGGGCTGATCACAGAGGAAAATACAAACTGCATCATTCCAGTCTGGTCACTAATTAGATTTATTACAATTTATTGCAGTATACTTCCAGCCTGGTTATTGGTCTGCTGGATAGGTTGATAGTGTCAAACATGGGATTATAGACCTTAGGAAAAATCCCTGATATCATCCGCACTGCTCAGGTCTCCATGTACTTACAAACAGCTTTGTGTGGTGGGGTGAGGTTATAAGCATTTGCTTCACACCAGCCAACAGGGAAAATGTCCATAGACTCCACATCAACAATGTACTCTGGAGAGGGCATCTGTGAACCTACAAACACAAATTTATAACGGGATTTAGGCATGGGAACACCAAGCTCAGAGCCATCCAAGCATCTATCACAAGCCTGGGGAAGTGAATGATGGAACATGTAAAGATAAATCTGCTTCCCTGCACCAAAATCAGGCAGCATTTAATCTTCAGGTTTGCACAGACAGCAAGGATGGGGCTGCTGCATTTACAGTGCAATGTGGTTCAGAGGAAAACCCCATTAAGAGCACTCAGAGGGTGTGCAGTGAAGCAGCCAAGAGCCAGGGAGGTTGAACATACATAACTTCCCTCAACAAGACAGCCTGGCTGACCCCTGGATATTTTGTGAAGTTGCATAACTGAGTCAGAAGGACCTGTCAAATGCTTGCTCTTAATGGTAGGAGAGTGTATCCAGGCTTTCCCAGGCTGGTAGCTAATGTGGGAGAGAGCTTTTATTATTACTGGGACTTTTATTGTCCCAGTGCTTCCCTGAAGCTTTTTTGTGCAGCTCTACCCTTGAGTCCCATTTTTTAAGGGTGAGAGGTGGCCAGTCTTCTGTCCAGAAGTGCCACAAATTCTTCTAGGGTACCTCACATGAAACAAGAGCTGATCACCCAGCAGGAGAGAAGCAGAATGAAAATCCCAAGTGGGACACATGCACCAAGGTCTCCGGCACGATGCTGACTCCAAAACTTCACCTTAAGTCGCTAGTTAAAGCAATTACCTTGCAATTTGGTTATTACACCTCCTTTAGAAGACAACCTCCTGTCTTCATTGATTGGGTCCCACTCACAGAACCAAAGAAGTATTTAGGCTGGAAAAGACCTCCAAGATATCAAACCCAACCATTAACCATCACTGCCAGGCCCACCACTAACCCACGTCACTAAGTACCACATCTGCATAACCTCTGAACACTTCCAGAGACAGTTATTCCACCACTACCCTGGGAAACCTGTTCCAATGCTTTATCATCCCTTCAGTGGAGGAAATGGAGGAAATTTGTCCCACTTTTTTTCCCTAATTTACCTGATTTCCACTCAAAAACCAATGAAGATATTCCTGCTGGCTTTCAGTTCTTTCAAAAACAACTCTTGTGTCCTGAGTCAAGGCACCACTTAACTACTCCAATTCAAGTTCAAGTTGCTGGTACAGCTGGGCCAGCAACTTCACCTCCTCCCTCTGCCAATTCCACCCCAGGACAAACAGCTCCAGCACCAGCATGGGGTGATCTCCTAATAAAAGGGACCAAAGGATCAGCAGCTTCCTCTGCATCACCCTTGCCTTGGCATCTGTTAAAACATCTTTGTCTCCTGCTAAAGGCAGCAAGTGTTTGACTGTGCACAGCCAGATGACTACAGGGAGCTTCCCACTAATGTGTGTTCATCAAGGGCTTGTGGTGTAATTGAAACAGTAATTGAACTTTGCGATGGGAACAGCACTGAGGCTGAGATGCAGCATTTGGATCAGTAACAAACCTGCTGCTCTGAGAGTGTGTGGCTGCATGAAAAAGCCTCCTCCTCAAAGGAAGCAGGGAAATAGGTGCTGGTGATCACACTGCTGGAGGAAACAATGAAAAAATGGAATCATGACATCTGTGTAGATCCATGGATGTCCTCATGGTGTTTCTCTGAACCCTGCATCATGTTCATGCACTGTCCATTTAAAATACATACTAGAATATGGGGAAGAGAATGGGATGAAGGTATAGGGCAAGGACACAACTTGCTGAATACAAGATTTCAGCAGCAGCTGAAATTCCCTGAAAAACCATTTCCCTCCCACAAGATACTACTACATGGTCACTGCTCAGTTTGAACCTGATGAAAGCTACAGTGGGGAACTCCATTTTCATCTGACACCACAAATCCAGGCAAGGAGCCCACGTGACAACAGTGAGTCAGTGGCAAGACATGCACACAGTGAGCAAGCCAAGGATCAAGCCCTAAACAGAGTAAGAAATCAACAGAGATCCCACTGAAATGTCACCAGACCTGGGAAAACCCATTACTTCATTACTGTAATGGTGTTATTCTGACAAATCAGACTCTATTTTAGAGGTCCTTTCCAATCTTAAGTATTCTACAGTTCAAAATTATTATAAAGTAACCAGATGAAATGTACTTTCCTGCTTACAAGCAACAATAAACAAGACATGAAGGGTCTTTTCCAACCAAAATGGTTCTACAAACATTCTGCTTCTGAAGTTTACAGCTGCAGCCACCCTGACCAGCAAAAAAGCAGCAAAGACATATTCGCAGCTACTCTGTCCTCCCTGGCACTGCTTCTGCCCTCTGGCAATTGATAACCCTGCTTTCCGCTTCCAACATCTTACTGCTTCCTCTGGCCTCACTCACAGGAGTGGAAAACAGCTTTTTTGAGACTCATTAGTTTCATCTGTTGTGTTTTATGCCACTCTCTTCTCAGAGCAAGAAATGTCCATGGGAATTGGGAGGTTAAAGGGAAAACAAGGAGACTAGAAACAGAGTGAGGAACATGTCTACCATGAATTTTACAGGATGGGTAGAACAGAGCAGCAACTCTAGAAAACTGTGAAAGGGAAAATTACAGGAAACCTCCCTGGAGAAGTGATTAACCAAAGGGTTTTCCTCAAATTCCTGGGCTGTGCAGGGAGCGTGCATTATTACTTGTATAAATTCACACCAGAAAGCTTCAAGCCCTAAAATCTAAAATGAACCAGTAAAAATTAACAATGCAGATGATGAGTAATAAAGTAGCAGAGAGCCCAGAGCATCCCATCAGTCCTGAGCTTCTCCTCCACCACGGGGGAACCGCACTGCTGCTCATTAAACGCTCGCCTTCCAGTTCAGGGTTTTGCTACTGTACGAAGTGTGATTTATCACACCCTGTTCTCTCATGTCTAACTCAACCTGCTTAACTCCTGTGTTCCTGGTTTATGGTTGCAGCCTGGGCTGTCAAACTGGGAGGGCAACAGTGAAAGCTGCAGAGGTGCCTGAGATAAATGGTGGGACCTGAGGTCTTCAGTGAGGGGCTCCCATGGATGCTGGGAAGGTTTGCTGCTTCCAGAATATAAATAATCAGTTAGAAGCAACACTATATTAATGGAGTCAAAAAAACCCATGCCACATTTCAAGCCACATTTATTTTACAACTCTGCAAGCAGGGAATTTTTGGCTGCGTTTTTTTTTTTTAATGCCTGCTTTTTGCATAACACTGTGCATACTGTAGTGATGTATTCCTAGAGCAGCAAAGATTTCTTTCTGTTTTCTGCAGTCTTTTGCATCTTTTCTGTTTATGACAGATCATTCAATTCCTGGTATTGAGATATAAACCAATCTTAAAGCATTTATATATCAGAACTCAAAAGAAAGTAGATGCACACAGGGTTTTTTTATGGTAAGTTGTAAAAAAAAACATCCTTTAAGAAATTAATAGAGTAAAAGGCACGAAGAAAGAGATAAGGGAAGGGAGCAAGATGGGAGTGTGTTGCCCTCTTCCTGCATCTATCCACATCTTTGGCATACACAAGTGAAAGCATCTGGTCATTTAAGAAAATAAGTTGCCAAAATGGGTCAAATTCCCTGATCAGATGGGTGTAAATCCAACAACAGCCTTGGTGAGAATGAAATTTCAAACAAATGTTGATTCCAGCAATTAAAACAAAATATTTACCCTGTGTCTGGACCAGACTCTAGATGAGCTTTTGCTACCTTGAGCTAAAAAGCAAACAATCATCTTAGAGTTAAAAAACAAAACCTGCCATTGCACACAGCTCTACCAAAAGCAAACACTCGGGAGAACTATAATACTTTGAGTTACCTGGCAACATTTTTACCAACTTTAAGGGCTTTCATTAGAGACCTCTCCTCCTGTACAAATTTTCAGGTTGGGAATTGCTGTAGAAGTCTCAGCTGCACATGTGAGGCAAACTTCTGTTCCTAAGATAAAGGTGTATGATGATGGCAGGGAGGAGGTTGTTATCATGTTGATAAAGACCACGTGGATGGAGAGGTGGGGGAACCTGCAGCTCCCCCAGAGAAAGAGCAGGTAAATGTAATTCCTCATGACACACAACTGGTCAAGGTGTATAAAATTGAAAAGCTGAAGAGAGAAATTTTGTGCAGAGGATAAAGGACAAAATTGAGTGAGTGAGTGAGTGAGTGAGTGAAGCAAACACAAGCAGCCTTTAGAGCATGTACCTTCCAGGTGCAGCCACATCAACCGTCCTTTCACCGAGGTGATGGAAGCCACACAAATCTCTGCAGGGTTCCTCGGGTTCACTGCCTCCAGCTTCATGTTCTTGGTGAAGCCACGGCTGAAGGATGTCTGAAAGAGGCAGGAGACAATGGTGAAACATGGCACTGCAGCACTGCACAACTTCAACCAGACTGTCTGCTAGGAAGCATAAAGTTAGTATGGTTTGCTTTCTGCTGTAAGGGAAGGATACCCTGAAAAATGCAAAGGCATCCAGAGTCAAATCAGAGCTGTGCTGGTGCAGCCCAGGGTGAGGCAGCTGTGCCCCTGCAGCACATGGGGGTCTGTTGCCCCTGCTGCCCCTGGAGGATCCCTGTCACAGGAGATGGATTCCCAGAGGAGGCTGTGACCCTGGAGAGAGGAGCCCATGCAGGAGCAGGTTTGCATCAACACCCGTATGAAAAATCAATGATGAAATGCATGTCATGTTCTACTCCTATCCCTGACTCCTAGGGGACTGGAGTCCTGCTGCTCCACATCAGCTCCAAGGATGTTTGAATGTTTGCCAATGATGCATTTTCTGTTAATGTGATACTATCCAGAAGATTCCCAGAACTCCTGTGCTTAAGCATCTCTCACCTTGCTAGGAGAAACCTTATAAAGCAAAAAACTATCTTGCCTGAGACCAGAGAAACCTCTTCATGCATTCAGTCAAGCTGACTGAAGCTGAAGATATCTGAATAACCTTTTGAAGTATGCTTTTCTTCACGGAGTTTTCATGGATGTATCTCTGAGCAACCCAATCTAGTGGGTGGCAGCAGTGTCCATGGGACGGGGGGACTGGAACTAGACAATCTTTAATGACCCTTCCAACCCAAACCATGCTGTGAATCTATTTTAAGCTCAATGAACAAGGCTTTCAGATACATAGGCTGGAGTGTAGATGTATCCAGTCGTGTTTATTGCCACTGTTCCTTCCAATGTCCCCTCCTGTCACTTATTCTCAGTCCCTTCCCAGCATCTCCCCACCACTCTCCCTGAAAACACACTAATGCAATACCTGTGTCCATACCAGGCCTTCCTCTCCTTGGATTTCCCTCCCCTCTGTTCCACCTGCTCTGCATCTCTCTGCACACAGTAGCACAGAAAGGCTTCCCTCTCTGAAATGAGATGTTTTGCTAATAATAATTGGGATGGGTAATAACTGCCACTGACTCAAAATGACACCACACTCTCATCCTATGTGAGAAACTGGAAGCCAGGCTCAAATTTAATCCTCCTCCTATTGGTACAACACCAAGGACCAAGGCCACTTCACCTTGAACAACCATTGAGAGTTCTCCAAGAGACTAAAAACTCATGGCTTTGGTCTCTTTTCTATCCAAGAACACGCTGCTACTCTCAAGCACACCTCGGACTGCCTCAAGCCTTGCTCAGCACACAGATCAGCTTCACCCTGCAAAAGCTGCTAATGGCCAGGGCTGCAGGAATGCAGGCTGAGTTTGTTTAAATGTCTTTTATGTTGCCTAACAAGGAAATGCCATTTATCATCACCCCGGCTCCTTTCATTGCAGTTCAGTGCTGGAGGCTCATTTATACAAAATCAATGGCAAAACAGTTAGGTGGAGTTTATTTTACTAAGCATTTGGGCACGTCAATCCATTCCATAACTGCCTCTCCTTGTTAAAAATCCCTCCTGGGGAAACAGCTACGGCACCTCCACTGCCAGCACCATGTCTGGCTGCACGAGGTGGGAGATGCAAAAAAAGCTTCCATCAAAGAGCCCCTCACAGCCACAAATCAAGGGGACCAGCCAGCCAGGAGGCTGCACAAGTGACAACAGAGCAGTTCCCTCTGAAAAGAATTGTGTTATTGAGAGTGGAAGAATAAAGAGACACATGCTCATCTGGTGAATGTTTCCTTAAAAAAAAAAAGACCAAAAAATGCCCAGACCTGACTTAATCTTAGAGGATATTATGCAGAGACTTTTCTCAAGGCTGCCACTGCTGAGAGAAGATATCCACTACTTGGCAAAATGAAAAGAGATATAAAGAAAAGGTGGGGATGCTTGCAGAAGAGAAACGTAAAAATAGCCCCACTGTATTGGTGTGACGCAGCTTCCCTCAGGACTGCTGGAAATCTTTGCTTTAAGTCCCTTCAGGAAGAGGGACCCTATGAGGCAAAGAAATCCTTACTCTGGTTTGCCTCCCAAGTCAGACTCTGTTCATGGTACAGTTCCTGTGAGTTCATCAATAAAAAAAAATCACTAATTCACCATCAAAGCTTCCAAGCCAGGCTGTCCCTAGGCCACCAGAGATGAGGAAGGCCATGGAAAACCACAGCTGGTGCCTGTCTCCATTCTGCTTTCCATAAATACCACATCCCTCAGTCCTGGGACTTCTGAGCTCAGTGAAATGCTGTACAATTCCTACAGAAATTTGTCTGTCCAGCATTCACCACACCACTTTATTTTGCAAAGCTTTCTGTGTTCATTTTAAGTGCACCACTAACACTTATGTACCACCAACACTTATGTACCACCATCAGGAGTATTTTCAGTCATTGATGGGATCTCAACCTCCAGCAGCTGATGGGCACACGAAGGGGAGCACCAGGTCGCTGGAAAAGGCAGAAGGCTACATCTGCCTCTCCCCAAGCAATGAATACCTGTCAGATCAAGCCACACAGGATTGTCATTGCCATAAAACAGCCTGCAAATGATCATATCAAAAGCTGAGAATCTTAATGGCATCCATCACTCTCACATCACTGTTGCAGCATCAAGGAAGGACATGAACTGTCCCAAGGACCAGTGCATTCATGAGGGTTAATCACCCTCTCATACATTTTCAACATTTAGCATTTTAATGCATGTGGTGTGGTTTCTTTGTATCCCTGGGATACAGATAAAACACCTAAAATGTAAAAAGAGGCAAATGATACTATGCAACTTCTTTACCTGAATTATTTTTAGTAGCACTTGAATTAATAGCAATAACCAGTTGAGATCCTTTTAGTGCTATACAAAACCAGAGAGGGGAAGAAGGGCAGGATAATTACAGATAAAGACAAGAATAAAATAAGTTTTTTCTGTTTTAGGGATGGAGACCTGGAGCACTCCCCAGTTTCCTTCCTAAGGCATCCTCATGGTGTTTTGGGAGGAACCCCTCAAAGCCTTGCAGCACCTTTTCTGTCCAAGCTGTTTTGTTTCACATAGCTGGACAGGAGCAAAAGGAAGAACTTACATTTCTAAAGCACAGGTGAGGTGCTGCCTCAGCTCCACACTGCTTCTGGTAGTCTGCCCAGTCAAAGTCTTGGCCAGAGTAACCTGCAGGACGACAGAACAAAAACAGCCATCAGCCACCACTCCACACCACAGACAGAGGACAAAATGGGCCCCAAGCAGATGAACATCTGTGCTTCAGCATCTCATCCTGCCCCAGTGACCCCTGCAGTGCCAACAGGGCCCCTGGTCACACACCATGAGAGCCAATGGCTCCTCCAGCCTCCACACACACCTCCTGCATTTAACTGCCAAGTCTCCTCTAAAAAGTGATAAGGCATAATTATTTCCCCTATTTTCCCTTTTCTGTGAGCATCTCCCAACTTTTAACAAACCCATAACTAATGACAAGTGCCACTGTCCCAGATTTCCACATGGGGCTAGTTATGGACTTCCTTCTCCTGCTTTTAGTTTTTTATTTGCTGGGTTTCCCTGACGTGGGGAGGAAATGAGAATCTGACTCCATGTTCTTAGAAGGCTAATTTATTATTTTATGATATATATTATATTAAAGAATACTAGACTAAACTATACTAAAGAATACAGACAGGATACAGACAGAAAGCTAGAAAGACATCAATGAAAATTCGTGACGTTTTCCAGAGCCTCAACCCAACTTGGCTGTGATTGGCCAGTAAGTAAAAACAATTCACATGAAACCAATGAAACAATCACCTGTTGGATAAACAATCTCCAAACACATTCCAAAGCAGCAAAGCACAGGAGAAACAAATGAGATAATATTGTTTTCCTTTTTCTCTGTGGCTTCTCAGCTTCCCAGGAGAGAAATCCTGGGCAAGGGGATTTTTCCAGAAAATATGACGGTGAGAACTTTTAGCTGTCTAAAAGGTGGACAAGGTTACGGAGCTGGACATGGGTTATTTGCTGGACCCTCAGGAATGGACAGGGACGGGATCAGCGCAATCAGAAGCCGATCCATCCTCCCTTTCAAAGCAGGAGATAAATTCCCCTCTCCTCATTCATGTATCCTTCCTGACTGGCTCCCCAGCAGCTCAGAGTGTGTGAGCTGAATCCCATCACAGTAAAAATGTTACAGAAATCTGGAGCAGAGCAGGAAAATGAATGCAGATCTCCCAGCAAGCAGATCATCCCTTCAGCCTCTGCTTCTAGGTAAAATAAAGGGATTCCTTTATATGAGCATCTCTCAAGGAGTCCCATCACAGAAAGACAAATCTGACCTCTTCTCATTCACTATTCTTGGCAATTTAGGCAATAAATTCTTGGAACAGAAATGTCTGGTTTTTTTTTCATTTGCTTTTGGGTTGTTTTTGGGTTTTTTTGCCTGGCTCTTAAGTCTCTATTTTTGCAGTGCTTGAAACCAGTGAGTGCTAATCCTGTCCAGGGGCCTGTGGATACTCTAATGACATTACTGCAGAACTACTCTTACTGGAAAGTTTCAGGAGTCACCCAAAGGCCAAATTCTCCCCTCAATCTCCTTTCAAATCTCAGCCTGGCCTCATTTCACAGAACATCCCTAAATGCCTTTTGCATTGATAGTCAAAAAGGGACACTCAAGATCAAATGTGAATGAATCACTTATGACAATGAAAATGGTGACTTTTTTTTATAGGCAAGGACTGGAATATTGAGTGTAATCCCCTATCAGTCTGCCAGATCCCAAAAAAAGGAGGTAAAATTTTTGAAAACAACGTGCCAAGCATCCTGCCAAGATCCAAATATCTCAGATAAGATGATTTCTAGTCCTAGTAATTGCATTCATGACAAACAAATTACTGAGATAAAGCCTTGAGCTACGATGCCTGTCTCTGTGGGGCATTAAAGTGCCTAATAATTAAAAAACTAAACATGCACAGGGAAGGAGGAAAAGGGCAGTTACTTATAAAGAATGCCATTTTTCATTCAGAAAATATCCTTGCACTGTTTTTTAACTGTTTAACTGTGTTTTTTTAAAACTGTTTTTTAACTGTTTAACTGTGTTTTTTTTAAACTGTTTTTTAACAATTTCTGCAACAGTATTTTCTCCACATTTCATCTCTTTTTTTATCTCAAATTTAAACCCCTCACACATGGGTTTTGCATCTCGATTTTAAGCTACACAGATCACGTCAGAGTGGAAGGAAAAGGCCCATTAGAGGTGTTTGAGTGAGGTACAAAAACCTGACTGTGCTGTCACCACACAACTGCCCCTGCACCACTGGAACTACCTTTCCCTTCAGGCTCCAGCAGGAACGGAACCCAGGAGGGCAGTGGGGAGGTAAAAATAACTCACTGCAGCAGCACAAGGAGGATTCCAAGAGGGGAACACCCAGGAATTGACTCCACATGAGCCCTGCCTTGTTTGTGGCCTTTTCAAAGTGAGGGTGCACCTTGAGGGCTGAGGCCGGTTCTGGGCCTTCACGGCCACAGGGGCCGGGAGGGGCTGGAGCTGTCCAGGGAATGGGGCCGGGAAGGGTCTGGAGTCCCAGGAGAGTCCCTGGAGCTGGGAAAGGGGCTGAGCCTGGAGAAAAGGAGGCTCAGAGTCCCTGGAGCTGGGAAAGGGGCTGAGCCTGGAGAAAAGGAGGCTCAGAGTCCCTGGAGCTGGAAAGGGGCTCAGCCTGGAGAAAAGGAGGCTCAGGGGGGACCTTGTGGCTCTGCACAGCTCCTGACAGGAGGGGACAGCCGGAGGTCGGGCTGTGCCCCAGGGAACAGGGACAGGAGGAGAGGGAACAGCACAAAGCTGCACTAGGGGAGGGTCAGGGTGGACATTAGGAAGAATTTCTTCACTGAAAGGGTTGCCAGGTATTGTATTTGCAAGGCACCCCCTGACAAAGGCAGGAATGATGCATATGACTCCATGTTCTCAGAAGGCCAATTTATTACTTTACCATACTGTATTATATTAAAGAATACTATACTAAACTATACTAAAGAATACAGAAAAAATACTTACTCAATGCTACAAGATAATAATGAAAACTTGTGACTCTCTCCAGAGTACCGGCACAGCTTGGCACTAATTGGCCTAAGAGTCAAAACAATGCATACCAGAATCCAATCAGGCAATCACCTTTGGGTAAATAATCTCCAAACACATTCCATATGAGCACAACACAGGAGAAGCAAATGAGATAAGAATTGTTTTCCTTTTCTCTGAGGCCTCTCAGCTTTCCAGGAGAAAAATCCTGGGCGAATGGATTTTTCCAGAGAATGTGAATGCCACAGTCAGGCACTGGAATGGGCTGCCCAGGGAAGGGGAGGAGTGCCCATCCCTAGAAATGGTGAAGAAACAACTGGATACTCAGTGCTGTGGTCTGGGTGACAAAGGTGGTGATCAAAGGTTGGACTCAATGACCCAGCTTGCCTGGAGGTCTTTTCCAACCCCACTGACTCCCTGATTCGGTGATCCTGCCCTCAGCTGCCTCCATCAGCACACAGGGAGGTACCAGGTGCCCAGTGCCTCCATCAGCACCCAGCACTCACACCCTGCCATCCTGGAAGGCTCAGCCCAAGGGACAGCACTGAGAGCTGTGTTTGTACAACTCAGCTGCTGCTCCTCAAACATGCAACACCTTCACCATGTTTGCCATCTCAGCTCTGGGCATGGAAGAGCCCAGCATTAGAAGCTAATTCAAAGCAAATATCACAATACAAATGTACTGGAGGTTTTTGGAAGTGGCTTGTCCTTAGTAAGCTTTACAACTAGGAGCAGTATCAAAATGTTTTTTCCCCCACTTAATAATAGCTCATAAAACAATGACTGTTACTCTAAAGGGAAGTGGTCTATAAATCCTGCTCTAATAAATATAAACAGAGCTTGTTCAATGTTTATACAGCAGCAGTTAATGGGTATTCATTTTTGGCACTGTACAGGAAAATACTGCTCTCTATTTCAAGTAGCAAATATTTGCACCTCCTGTTCATGACCCATTTACTCTTTGTTTGTCTTCAATAAAGCCTTGATAAGCAAAAAGGAAAGAGAATGGCTATCAGACAAATAAAGGACTCCAAACTCCAATATCCCGACCTGGCATACTGTTCTGACTAAAAAAAGTCAGTAGATTTTGAGATCAGAAAACCTCCTTGTCAAGCCTAAATTAACCAGGGGTTTGGATGTTTTTCACTTTCCATCTGCTTTCTTTTTTGGTGCTTTTTGGGTTTTTGTTGTGTTTAGTTTGTGTTTATTTTCAAATAACTCATTCTAATATCTGATTACATTTTAGTAACTCAAAGAATCTGTCTGCCCACAGAAAAGGTTTTAAGGTGCTAAAATTCAGTTTGTACATGCAGCCCTTATACACAGTATATAAAAAAAAAAAGCAACACATAGAATGCATCTATCTGCCACTGGCTTTATGCCTTTTTAATAGCTTTCCCCCAGGATTTCTGATCTCACAGCGGAAAGCCAAATTGGTTTTCACCAGGGGGATGAGAGACTTTCTGCACTTTCTCAGGTGCCCAGGTGGATCCCAATAACCACGTACCACACAAGATCATAGAACCACAGAATGGTTTGGTCTGTAAGGGGCCTGGAAGGTGACCCAGTTCCACCCCTCTGCCATGGGCAGGGACACCTCTCATTAGACCTGGCCAAGTTGAAAAATATTCACATGACAGACGCTTCAGATATGTCTTCAAATGCTGGCATCTAAAAGAGAGGTTCATTGAACACACTTGACCCAAAAACCACCATCTCAGATGGGCTTTGTGTCAGCATGGAATGGTAATTTTTAAGCCTATGGTCTCTTTCAGTTAATTGTCCCGCCTGGGCAAGCTGCAAGTGAATTTGGGTGGAAAAAGCCCAAAATATTCCATTTACTTTGATTTCTAGCAACTCTTCTGGCCAGTATCAGTGAGTGCTTACACAGGCATTATCATTGCACCTGGGTTTCAGCAGGGAAGAGCTAAAGCCCCAGACAGCAGATTTATTTCAGCAGAAGCAGCAGAGCAGTCATGGATGTACTGTATGCAGCTGCAGGCACAGGGCTTCAGGACTTTGGTGGGAATTTCAAATTACATGTGCTGAAGAAGCACTCTGGATATACATAAGAGGATTCTAAATCTGGTAGGGAATAACCCTTCCCTTCCCTGGGTTTGGCAGCATCATGCTTTTTCCAAAATGAAGGCAAAAGTTCACACACAAAACTTAGCTTTTTTTTTTTTTTTTTTGAGGCATTTCTTACTCCCAAGCAACACTGATTTTTGGCAAACAGACCAACAACCCAGCCAGCTTCAAAAACCTGAAATTCCAGGGAACCAACACATTCTGAACGCAAAGAAATATTGCAAGGGCACCACAGGTGGTTGTCTGAAGTTGAGAGTAATTAACTGCACTGCTACAAAGTTGAGGAACAGCAGGGCTGTAGGCTGTTTCTCCTGTCTCTGACCTGAACACTGCTTGCAGTGTGCCCTGGGATTTGTTGAGACAGCCAAGGAAATCCCTCCACACTCCTGGGCAGGCAGCTGTTTTTAGCTCAGACACTCAGATTCAGGAGCTTTGCTTGGCCTCAATGTTGTACTGACACGGATGAAACAGGGTTTGCCTCTGCAGTGATTGGACTTTTAGTGCTCCTTTTGCTCTCTACACTCACAAAGAACTGCTAGGATTCGTCCCACAGGAATTCACGAGGATTTCACAAGCCTTAATCAGACTTCAAAGCACAGGGACATCAATCCACCAGCAAGAAACATTTGTTGAGATGTTCATGGGCTGGTAGGAGCCAGAACAGCCCCAATCACTCCAGAAAACTACTCTGGCTTGAGACACTTCAGCTGATGCTCTACAGCAACCACCACCACAATCTGAAAGGCAATAATAACAAGCAAGTGCACTTCAGAGTAAACCCAAAAATCACTGAGAAGGAATACAAACCCTTGGGAGGTGTGAGATTGACTCCGTTTTTAAGGCACCACTGTATTGGCAAGATCCCCAGGGAATCTGCATGGCAAAGCATTGAGATTTTGCTGGATTCAGGTCTCAAGTCATCAATGGTCACTTGTAAATAATGATTGTTAAAAACCTAAGGGGTGAAAAAGAAGAGACAAAAATCTGAGGTTAGATTTGCTGCAACATTATGTAACATGGAAAGCTGAAACAGCCAAACCTGGGGATCAAACTACTGCAAATAATTTGCTCCCATCTAAACCTTTTCATCCAAGTGTTTCTACCCAAGAGATCAAAGCCTGAGTTTTAGAGATGGGTGAAATGAAGCAATGGAAAGTGCTGAGGTTCAGGGTCCCACAACTGAGCAGCAATGGAGATGATCCTGAAGACCCCAGAGCCTTCCTCTCTCTTGTATTCGAGTGTGTAGATTAAATATCCAGCCACCACCTCCATTCAGCTCTTTTATTTCCAAAGGTTTCTCAGATGTGCAGGGAAAATACATATGGATGGAGGGGAGACAAAGACAAAAGAGGGATCCTTTTTTTTTTTGCTTGCAAGTGGTAGATGAACATGCTTATCCCCATTGGTTTAAGTGCATGGAATCAGGCGGTGATGCTTGTGGGAAAGAATTAATTAGGAATATACATGGATTTTAAACCTATTTCTTAACATGCTCTCCAGCCACTTAAGTACCACTCTTGTTTTTTTCTAAATGTAGTGAAAATCAGGAAGGGTTTCCCAGACAGACTCTTTCCATCCCTCCTTTCTGAGCACTCACCTTGGTCACTGATGCAGGACAGATATGAAATGGCTCCCTCATATTCACTGCCTCCAGCTTCATCCCCACAGTGAAGAAGTGGTTTCTCAAGTCAGCATGGTCCTGTGGGAAGAGGAACACGTGATGACACCAAGAAACAGCCAATACATCTGAAAATCCATCTGAAAGACGTCCATGTGGGTTTTGTCAACTTAGTTGGTCCTCTGTTCTTTTCATGCCAATCCAGCCACAGAAATAGAGGGGACAGCCTCAGTCCACATCTACACCACCAAGCCCATCATACCTGAAGCACAGGGTATGTCCACCTCAGGCATCCAACCAGAATTTGGTCCACAAGGAGACTGTGCTCACCAAAATGAGAACTTGATGAGAAACTGCTGCTTGAAAATCTCCTGTGGGCAGAGCCTCTCCACCTCTGACAGCCACCACCCTCTGGGAGCAACTGAGAGTGCCAAGACTCAAACTGAAGCCCCCCAGGGTAATGCACAAGATGGATGCAAATAGCACAGCATGGCTCTGATTTACCCTGAGGGATGTTCAGCACCTGCAGAGCACCAAAACAACCACTGGGCTGGTCTCCAAGATGGAAAGATGGAAAAATATTTTTTTCCAGCCAGGAGACTGGAAATGGATTAGAGCTTGGACAGTGAACTCAGACCCAAAATGTGGGCAACCAGAGAACATGATGATGGGAAAACAGGCAGCTGTGCTCAAGTACATCCCCAACATAACACCTCCACCTGGGATAAAACCTGGCTGCACCCACAGGCTACATGCAGAGGGTTCCCCACAGCAGCTCTGGGATGGAAAAATATTTTTTTCCAGCCAGGAGACTGGAAATGGATTAGAGCTTGGACAGTGAACTCAGACCCAAAATGTGGGCAACCAGAGAACATGATGATGGGAAAACAGGCAGCTGTGCTCAAGTACATCCCCAACATAACAATTCCACCCGGGATAAAACCTGGCTGCACCCACAGACTACATGCAGAGGGTTCCCCACAGCAGCTCTGGGGATGCAGGATGCAGTCCTGAAATTCAGAAGCAACCCAGAAAAAACTCCCTGTCTCTGCCACCAGTTTAGTTTAACACCTAATTACTCCATCCCCTGTGATCCCTATCTAGCAGTCACACAAGCTGCCACCCTAATTCCAGGGTAATGACTGCATTTTGTGTTCGTTCAATAAAAATGTCCCACAGTGTTTCTAAACCACTGGTGCATTAGCAAATGTAAGCATAAAGAGAGATGATGCTGTATTTACCACACACTCAGAGACTACTCCAAAATACATGCATAAAGCTTGCTATCTAGTAAGTGGTTAGCAACAACAATCCCATCTACATTCATTGCTACATGTGGTATTCTTGCTCTAAAATGATTTTCTATTGATCCGAAGTTGTGTTTCCTTGTGCTTTCTTTTCCCAAGAACTGTCTGCACTTGTAAGGGCTTAACAAATTCTATTTTGGGATCTTACACTCCAACTGCTGCTAGAGATAAGGATTTTTACAAGCTCCAACCACAGCTAAATGAATAGTTGTTTTCATCCTACTAACCTGCAGTGTTAGAGAGCCCTTTTTGGTGAGAATCAAAAAGCAGAAAAAAAACACCAATGGAACAATAATGAATTTTGCCTCAAAGGAGAAGAAAATACTGATGAGAAAACTGAGGAATATTTAAGAATAATGGCCCAGAGCCCAAGGAACTAATGGCTGAGGATGGAGCAGACATCCAGGAGTTTGAGCATCCTTTTAATAAGGGTATGCAATGATAGGATGAGGCAGAATGGTTTTAAGCTGAAAAAGGGCAGATTTGCATCAGATATTAAGAACAAATTCTTTACTGTGGAGGAACTGAGTCACTAGGACAGGTTTCCCTGAGAAGTTGTGGATGTCCATCCCTGGAAGTCTTCAAGGCCAGCAACCTGGGACAGTGGAAGGTGTCACTGCCTGTGTCAGGGGACTGGAAGGAGATGAACTTTAAGGTCCTATCAAAGACTGCCACCTTTGATACTGAAAAGGCTTCAGAGGGAAAAGATGATGGCTGCAAAACTCCATCATTAGCACTGAACTTTAAACCCCTAAAGGAAAAATAGCATTTGGACTGGAGGGCTGCCTCCTCCTCCATGAGGATCCACACTCCGATTCTCTTAATCCTCAGGGCGAGGTAATAAAGAAAAGGCAACTTTGCAAAATGTGCATCTGGAGTCAGCATCTCCCCACAAACGCTCCATGATTCAACTCACGCTCAGATCCAGCCTCAATATGTAATAAGCCAAGATCCACCAAAGTACTTAATCATGTTTATCTTTAAACACGCAAGTAGTTTAATCAACTTTTAAAGTGATTTGTTGATTGAGACCAAAATATACTGACACCAAACCACACTGCTTCTCCTTTTTATCGGAACCATTTTCTTTGGTGTTTCTCCTTCTATTTGTTTTGGCTTTTTTTCAAAGGGGAAAAATAATCAGATGGGGGGAAAAAAGCACTAATAATATTTAAAAGTATTTTACTTCAAAAGCACTGTGTACCTTGGGATCAAATCTCTCTTGTCTTTCAGCACAGCAAGCAAATATTTTGCCCATTAAATTAGTAGCAAGAGTGAACTCACTAGGGGAGTTCACAGGATCTCAAGTACGTCTCCCTTTTGAGGGTCAAAATCCTCTTTGAAGCAGAAACATGCATTTCTTTAGAGAAATGCTGTGGAAGTAAAAACCCTTTCTGTGTTAAATGTCATTTCTGAGATGGAAAAGCTTTCATGGTGAAAAAGCTCTTGTATTGCACCTCTCTGGAAAATGGTCAGGGTCTGGATATTTGATCTGTCTTGTATACTGGCTAAAGAGAATAATCAGAATTTACCAAAGCAGCTTTACATTTTTGCAGCCACAAAAGGAAAGAAAAAAGAATCCTGATGCCATTCTCCAGTTCCAGTGCTGGAGCTGCCTCAGCCAGCAGGGAATTACTTAGGATTTGGCATATGCTCCTCTTCAAAACTCCAATTAATTTACATAATTTCTAAGAATAGGTTCCAGAGAAGTGATGGCAAAGCTTTTAATTAGTATTAGACTCAAAGTGATACACTGGATAATGAACTGCTCTCTCTTCCCTTTATTCACGTTGACAGGAACGACGCCTGTTTAATAAAAGCAGCTACAAGGAGAGGACTGGAGGGGTGAGACTTTCTCCTGGTCCCCGCCAGGCTCTGCAGCTGAACAAAAGAAATGCCTGACATGATAATGGGTGGCAGAATTCGACCCTTTGCTGCTATTTCACAGCATTCAATGCCACCAGCGAGGATGTCACCAGCCATTATTTTCTAGCTACTTCTCCAAGTGACTCAATTTCCTTTGAAATGGAGATCAACAGGCAGAATAGTTTTGACCAGCTGGAGCATTTTAAAGCCTCATGCATGGTGGGCCTTTACTCCTGCTGGCAGTCAGGGCTTCCCAGAGGCAGCCTCGCTGACCACACAGGAGTTTGCTCTGGATATTAGGAAAACTTTTTGTGCTGAATGTGCTGCCAAGCATTGGCACAGGCTGCCCAGGGAAGTGTTGGAGTCACCATCCCTGGAGGGATTTAAGAGCTGTGTAGATGTGGCATTTGAGGACATGGGTTAGTGGTGGGCTTGGCAGTGCTGGGTTAGTGCTTGGACTTGATCTTGGAGGTGTTTTCCAAACTAAATGAGGCAATGATTCTGTGATTCCATAATTTATACCACTGGATCGCTTGTCCTGGGGTTCACAAGCCCTGAGAGGGCACTGGAAACACCCTCTGGCTGCTGAGGAGCAGCCAAGTGACCTGGACTGACAATCAACAAGGATGCAGGAGAGTCCCTTAGAGCAAAGTGAAAAATCATGCCACAAAACACTCAACAAATTAACGTGGCACAGGCACCACAGCTGCTCACTCCAAGGGTCACAGTCTCTAACGTGATGGATTACAGCTCAGGGGTAATGAGTGGAGCACTGCAAAAAGCCCTCAATGAACGTCTGTCACTCACAGTACAAACCCACTGGCAACAGCCAGAGCTGTCACAGCTCTCACTATAATCCCAAAAAAGCAATTAAACACAGCCCCACGCTCACAGCTTTAGAGCAGGGGATGCATTTACAAATGCACAGGCTGTGACCCTCTGGGCCACCTGAAAGACAGCCCTGCTTTGATACACATCCGCACCATGATTCCCATCTTTACATGGCTTGTGTTTCTGTAATTATTCTGCAAAAATTACTGATGGGCTTTGTAACAGCTCACTGCATCCAGCATCACACACAGGGCTGGGAACTGCAACATCTGGAGGTCAAATAACAAGTTAGCCACAGTGCTGGGAGCAGAAACAGGCTCCAAATTCCCAGATTAGGGGAATTAATTCCCTTCCCAAATTCCCTTCTTTCTTCAGGATCTGAGATAGCCACATATTTTTTTCCCTCACAGCTAACAAGCCACTAGCAGTGTGGATTTCAGAAATACCAGGAGACATGGCAGCCTAAATGTCACTCTAAAAGAGATCCACAAACAGATTTTAAAAAGCATTGCAACTCTTCAGGATCTGAATAAGCTTAGGGAAGTACCTGTGTGGGTGACATGCTTAAAGCCTTATAATTAAGTCAGTAAGTATTAATTTTAGGTGATGGACTCATAAATTTCAAAATCATCCCTGCCATTTGCCCAACCTGGTAGCTAAATACCAGGTCAACAAATGCAATTTCTTCTAAAAAATGCCATTTGGCTGCAAATAAACTCAATTTTGTCCATGTCACAAGAGTGGAGCTCAGGTAATTTTACAGTGCACTGGGTAAAGCTGATAGAGCAGGGGGACCTGGCTAAGCTGCTTTTGTCTGTGACACTCAGGGAAGCTGCACTCTGAGCTGGTTGCTCTGTGTTCCCAAACCCAATGAAGGGCATCACTTTCAGACTGTGAAATGTCCATTTTTAGCCCATTCTGCTCAAGACCACTGGAGTAATACAATTTTAAACACAGCAGCTTACACAGTGTACAGAAAAGAGCAAAAGGCTCTCATTTGTGTCTAAATTTTCAAATTTCAGGCTTATTTTCAAATATTCTTAAAAGTCAGGGCTCTTTTGATCCAGGACAGTCAGA